CAGGGGTCAGATGCCTCCCGGGTTTTACCAGTGTGTGTCCTGACGTGTGTCTTCAGATGGTGGCTGGCAGCAAAGGCTTTCCCGCAGCCATCATGGTCACACCTGTGGGAGAAAGCAGAGAGTCTTACAGCATCACCCTGACAACTTGGAAGCACCTTTACAACCTTGAAACATGCTAGCCTCACCCACTTACACGGCAATCCTCAGCAAGAAAAAAAAGGGAGGTAGCCTTGAGCCTTGGAAACATTGACCTGAACTGTTGTTAGAAAACATCTATTTACTCTGGATGAATTTAAGTTGCTATGGCCAGATGAACCACACCCTAAGATACTGAAAGAACTTGCCAACAGCCTCAGCAAATTCTTATACATTATACCTTTGAAAAATTCTGCCAAACTAATGAAGTGCCAGATGACTGAAGAACAACAAATGTCCCTATGTTCAAAAGGAGAAAAAAGGAGGTCTCGGGAATGACACACCAGTCACCCTGATATTGATACACAGAAAGAATTCAGAGCCAATCACAGTGATGGATAGGTCACACTTTGAAAGCAATGCAATGGTTAGCGTAGGTCTGTATGAATTTGGCAAGACTAAATCTTGTCAGATTAATTTTATCCCATTTTTGATTGGGCAACTTACTTAACAGATTGTGAAAATATTATAAAGGAAATGGGCTGAAAACAACAGAAGAAAATTGATCATAGACAGCTGCAAAGTTCTTCACTTAGGAAACAGAAATCAAATGCATACAATAGGATAGGGATACCTGGCTTTGCAAGAGTGCTTGTGAAAAAAGTCTTGCAATGATTGGAGGAAGAGTAAGATGTGTGATGTGGCTGCAAAAAGGGTAAATCGGTTTTAGGCTGCATCAACAGAAATACTGTTTCAAAATTACGGAAGACCCATGTTGCCTTGCTCAGATCCCCTCCTGAATACTGGAAGAGGATTAGAAAAGGGTAATGGGGATGAATACCATGAAGACATTGCAGGACTTTAGCTTTGAAAAGAGAAGACTGAGGAGTATAATAGAATTCAAATACTTATATTCTCTATCGTTTCAGAGAACAGGACATGGAATAACTAATTAAAGCTAGAGGAAGACAGGTTCCAGTTGAATATTTAAAAAGCTTTGCAACAATAAGAGCAGTTTGACAATGGAATCAATTACTCAGAGAGAGGTGTTGTTGGATTTATATTCCACCTTTCCTTCAAGAACTCAAGTGGTTTAGATGGCAATCTTCCTTGATATTATCCCCACAGTAGCGCCCTGTGAGGTAGGCTGGGCTGAGAGTGTGTGTAGCCCATAATAAAGGGGACTTGAGGTTAACCTAACATTTTAACAACTACACCACTGGATTGCAAGGAGTAGATGCTAGACATGAGACATTTTAACCTGGATTTCTTCACTGAGCAAGGGATTTGATTCAACAGCCTGAATAGCTCCTTCAATTCTGGGATTCTCATGCAAATGAAGATGCTGAACAGAAATAATTAATATTCTGTACCTGCTCTCAAGGCATTGGATTGGCCCCAGACTTGCCATGAGGGAATGCCAAGGCCTACATGGCGGAGAAACAGGATTATCTGAGTGCCTTCTCCGCAACTCAGTTAAGATCACGTGACAAGATCCTCTTGATGGTAGTGCATCTATTGTGGATTCTTTAGAGGGCAACCTGAGAGAGGGCACCTGGGTGCATTACTCCAGCTATGAAAATTTCATGCTGGCATAAAGTTTATGAAGCTTTCAGTATCTGCTTAAGGCATATGCATTCATTCATGAATTTGGTCACTCTAATGCTATGTCTTTCCAACCTGGCCTAGTTCTCCCAGGATTTAGAGTTTAAGTTAATGAAGATGTTTAATGAGTTTTCTTGAATTATTAAGTTTTGATTTTTTTGTAAATTGTTTGCCTTAAACTGTATCTTACATATTAGTTGAACGTTTATAAATAAGGAACACGTAATTAGCATATTACAAAAATAACAAAATTAGGTAGTATCATAATAGGTTTAATAGCATCAGCGAGTAACAAACAGTGAAATCTCAGGAGCTGCTTGAACACCAATCAAGCAAGGGCCACTACTACTCTTCATGCCCACAAAACTAATGGTTGAGATAGGAGAGTAACAAGCAGGCCCCCAATATTAATCTCAGAATGTAAGTGGGTATGCTGGGGCCAATGAAAGCGAGCCCATCACGTCAACTGAAACCAAAAACCCAAGAGCAGCTTTGGTGCCTCTGAGGTTCTCCAGAAAGGAGCATCTCTACATCAGGCTGATCTTGTCCACCTGAACAATTAAGAGGGCTGCAACCATTTGTTTTTCTACCACCAATCAGTATAATGTTGAGTGACAGTGAACATATGAACCTATGCACTCAGCCGATAACGGAACATTTGCCAGAGGTGGACATGCTGGAAATCAGATTGGGAATTTATACATTATAGGCCTCAGTGAATTTAAAATGCAGCTTATGGTAAATCAAACCAGGACCTTGGAATTAAAAAAACAAAAAAACAAACAGGGATTCAAGCTCCAAGAACTGTTTCCAAGAGGTCCCTGAAGATATTATGGTACACAGCCTCTTCAAAAGCTTTGCAAATGGCCCAGGAACACAATACAATGCATGCTGAAACCAGACAACTCACCTGAACGGCTTCTCTCCAGTGTGAGTCCGAATGTGTTTCCGCAAATCACTGAGGGTTGTAAAGTACTTGCTGCAGCCTTCTGATTCACAGTTAAATGTTTTCCCTGTGTGAAGCCTCTGATGGGCTTTTAACCTAAAGAAGGAAAGGAGGGGTTAGAGAATGTCTCTTCTGGTCCAAGACACACCCTGCAGTGAAAGAGCAAGGCCCATCTGATAGGATTATAGACTTGGGCCAAAGTTCTGCAAACTGAAAACACCTATCAGAGCCAACATGCTAATGGAAGAAGTTGTGTGGGTGATGTACTTCAGGCAATAAATTCTGGAAGAGCTACAAGCACTGATGTGAGAGATTTGGAGAGTGGGGATAGGGTAGGGTAAAGTATATTTCACCAAGGACATTATCCAATTCAACCAGGAGTATCCATTTCTCTGTGTGTGTGTGCATGCGTGTCCATGTCCATGCTGTAATTTCTTATGCTGAATGTGAGAATTCCTGAATTCCTCCTCTTACCTGTACAGTGTATTGAAGGCTTTTTCACAACCCTGAACATCACACTCAAAGGGCTTCTCCTTGGTGTGCACTCGGACATGGATTCTGAGACTGTAGGATGTCAGAAAGGCCTTCCCACACCCCTCCTGATTGCACACAAAGGTGTACTCCCCCCGGTGGGTCTTCTGGTGGGTGCGCAGGTTGCCTGCAGTGCTGTAGGTACGAGGGCAACCCTCAAACGTGCACTGGTAGCGCTTCACCTGTCAGACAAACAAGCACCATGAAAATCAATATCCACAGCAGGCCAACTAGGATTGGCCCAATCCATTTTACAGAGCTACTGGAAGAGATAGTAAGTTGGTAAATCAGAAAAAACTCCTAAGGTTTGCGGGTTATGCAAATTAGCAACGGAAACCCCGCCTCCTGCGCTTGCCAGCTGGGCTCTGCTCTAGGAAGGAGGCTCTGGCAAACCACTTCCGAAACACCTT